AAAAATTGATTGACAATTGGGAATTTTGGAAAAATTCACAATAAAATATGGTTTTATTAGGTTTTATTATGTACGTAACAAAAATTTGGTAAACGTGATAAAATTTGACAGTTTTATAATGATATGAAAATGGCATAAAAAACATTTAAATTCATATTTCAGATTTATATTTTTTCTAAACGTATGGTGATTGAGAACCAGTATTTCCGGTCAACCATGAACACATGAACGGAAAAGTCACCAAAGAATGGCTTAAATACGAGTATATTTTGGTTTTATTATGGTGGGTTTGTTATTCGGTTTTATGAAATTATGGTTTTTTTACCAGAAATTTTCTTACCATACAGTGGTATAATTTTACCATAATTTTTCCTCTGAGTAGGAATGGACAGTAAGAACAAATGTTTTTAAAAGCTTAACAAAAAAATTTCCCCCTTTGAAATTTGTGTTTTCACAAATTATATATCACTGTCAAAATCCTAACAACGATACAAAAATTGCATGCTTGTAACAAATTCAAAATTACTAACTGTCCGCTATTATAACAGAATTGTTATTAAGAAAATACATTTTTTGCTTTTTAAATGTCTGCAGTTTAATATTGTACGAATATAGTTTGTCTAAAATAAGAACTCTCCCAGACATTGGTCTGGGCCTGTGGCGTTGACTATGGTAACGAGGTATGCCTATTTCAAATAGGGGTGCGGGGTCACTGTTTGGAGTGGTTTCGGCTCGGGTGGGTGAGAGAAAGGAAAACTCTTTCTTCGATCTCTTGTATTAGTCTTAGAGCGAAGCTACCCACCCTCCCTAAAATGCGCCATTCTTGTTTCCATAGCACAAAACGCCTCAGACATTAAAGCGGGAGGAGTTCTTAGCTTAGACAAACTGTACATTTGTCGGCTGTTTTATCACGAAAAAGGTTTAAATGGAAGAAATTTTTATTTATTATTGAAAACTCCCCCTACTCTTTAACCCTTTATTAGAGAAATGGGGGTGATTAGAGGGAGAGGGCAGATCTTCTATAAAGATAAGTTAGGTATTGTTTCCGATGTTTGTTTGTTTCTTCACTAAATGGAAAGAAATCAATCTTAAAACGATCTGACTAATAGTTTCAAAGTTATAAGGGAAAAGGACAAACTTGTACTTGTACATATTTACGCAACTGATATTGTTTTCGAGGCATTGTTTCTTTTGTACTTTTTCACGTTGAATCGAATAACTGTATGTCTTTTGACTGTACATGAGTCAAAAGAACAAATAGTTTAAAATCTAAAAGAGTTTTTTTTTCTTTTTTTCTTTTTTTGTATAAAAAGTACTTCTTTTGACATGGTACACTTTTCATGTTGCTATGTAGGATCGTTGTTGCGTTATTACGTGAGGAAATAAAGAAGTGTTTTATCTTTTCATATTGCGAGACCAATAAGTGAGGTATCCTGTGAATTTTTATGAATCCTATGAGTCTTATGAGTATCCCATGAGTAGGAAAACAAACACAAATCAAAAGGATTTACGTTTCAAAAGCCGCACGAACATATTTTACAAACATATTTCAAAAGTTGAATTTCTCAAAATATTTTAATTAAAGTACATGTTCAGACAGCTTATAAATAGCAATGCAAAAAGTGCAAATAAGTACATGTCAGTAGAAGTACTTTTTATACAATAGGCGCTTTTAACTTTTTAACTATACCTTCTGTTGACTCTTATATAGTCTTATACGATTCATCGTAAGAACTATATAGGAAACAAGTCTCATTTGTTTAGATAACAATGTCAGATGCGTAGATAAATACGAATAAAAGTTTGTACTTTTCGTATACAAAGCCCATGTAACTTCTATACTATTAGTCCGATCATTTCGATCTATTGGCTTCATTCATTTGAACGTGAAAAAGTAAGTCAGAAACAGTGCTTCACTTGTCTGTTTGGAGGAAATTTAATTTCTGTCTCAACCTATATATATATTGAAAAAAATTCGCTAAAANTCTTAGCGCCCCTAGCGACGTATGAAAACATTTCCGGGTTCCTATGCAATTTTTATATTGAGGATATATATATATATATATATATAGGTCAATCAATCACTTAACTTGTTTGTCTCTGCAAAGGTTTTGAACAAAGGCAGTAAAACCTTTCAGTGCTTAAGTTTAATTCGTGTTTTTTTACTTCTTAAAAATTTAGATTCTCAATTATTACATCTAAAACTAGATAAAATAACTTCCGCAATCAAGCAATGTTAAAGAAAATGAAGTTAAAATAATATTTCCCTAAATTTAAATTAATAGTATCTCTACACACATATATTCGATTTTATTAAAGTGCAAATGTTATTCTACCACAGTACAGAAGTTGTGAAACATAAATAATGACTTAACAATTGGAAATAGATTTTACGAATCGAAATAAAAGTATTAAGCATAAAGATACATGAAATGTTTATTTATATTTCAAATTCTCATACACGTGCTCAACATATATTAAGCAAAAAATAAAGGAATATTGAGAACAATGAACATTGTTTTTTTTTAATTGAACAAGTGGTCATTCTCTTCTTAACGTCGAGGTGAGATGTCCACCTGATACATTAAAGGAAAAGTGAAGCTAAAATATGGATAAAGCTCACATTTCATACAGTTAACCATGATGAACTCGCAATAAGCTGTAAGGGAAGTATTTCATTTTAAGAAATCAGTAAAAAGAATCCAACAAATAAAATCTAATGTACAAATTTACTAGACCAATTCCGAAAGAAAATTTATTAAATTTTTAGAAAAGATTTGCAAGGTTTGTACATGCTTAATGGAAACATTGCATTGCATTGCACCTTACACATCTCATCCAGTCATCGTTTTTATTAGTGGTATTGTATTTTTCTTCACAGCTTACATGCTTATATTCATCAAATTCTGAGTGTGTAAAATCAGGTAATATGTAAGGTTCTGTGAAGTAGGTTATAGAGTTCTATCGGATAATATGTTATGCCTGTAGAATCGACATGTAATATGTAGAATTCGTACGGTACTCTAAAGTTTAAAAGTGGTTTCAATATTTTAATAAAAAAGCCAATGATTTTTTTATTAGCTTTCATCTTAAAATTGCGAAACGAAATCATTAATAAACGCAAAGATTTCGTAACTAGATTTATTTATTTGAATAAATGAAGCGCTGGTGTGAAGATTAATTTACTAAATAACATCGAATTTCCTTAATTTTGTTATCTAAATTTAAATTTTTTAACAACTCTACTATCATTAATATGTCCTTACGTATTAAGTGGCCATTTCTCTCCAATATTGTGTGGTCATCTCTCCTAAAATTAATGATGGGATGGCGACCGGATTTATAGCGTCTCTCCACTATAATATTCTTCCGTCTTTTTTACTTGTTGTTGTTGTTGTCGTCGACCATTAAGCAGAAGGGGTGCGATTGCTCTAGTTTTCAAGTGGCGCCATCTATGGCCTAGAATTTGACTTCAGTCACACCTATACGTCACACCCGTTTATAGGACGGACCCATTCATACATCCATCCACTCGTCCACAGATCGTAATTTTGACCTGAACTAGAGAACGATCAATTTCCAATTCAGTACCCTCAGAGGTATTGATTTGTTATTGTAACATGAAAGACTTTGTGATCCGACAGATTTAACGTGCACCAGTCATCATTTACTACACGGGGAGTCTTCGTTCGGCTGGATTCGAACTCCTGCTCTCACAAACGTAAGTCCAGCGCCCTTCCAAACAGGCTGTCCCACCCTGCCTTTTTTTTACTTAGGAACAAAGATTGGACTATATATGTGCTCTAAAGGTCTAGTTAGTTGAAAAAAATGTAGCCAAAGCTTTGAAAAACAAAAGATTAGTAAATTCCCAAGAAATATTTGACCCCTAAATAAAATAAAACATCAAAATTTTACATACTTTTTTTAATCACGAAAAACAATGCTTTGTTCAAATTAAACAAGCAAAACTGCTAAAACTTAAAAATTAAATAAGTAATAACTTAAAAACTACATGTGCGGGAATATCTAAAAAATATAGGAGACATTTAAACGGGTCATCTCTCCTATATGACCATCATCCATTACTATACATTTACAGAAACAAAATTTACGTCGTAACGAAAAGTCTACTTGCTTATAGTTGTGTAATAAGGATGGCAATATTTTAATTTGCTTATATTTTTCCTTTGCATTAAATAATTTTATGCCATTTAATTTATATTCGCTTCTTTTCTGCTATTCCTAATTCGAATTCGTCTTAACATTTTCTCTGTTCGGTGAGTATGTTTGATTTGCAAACTAATTTTATTTACGTGTGTAGATCATAAAATACTTGTTCTTACCTAAAATTGTAACGAAAAACCAACTTTACTGACTCTTATGTGCTTTATATCTTACTGCTATTACACATTTTTTTAGTGTTACTGAACACCATAAACGGTGGAAACTACTCTGCACCAAAAGTAGCTTAAAGAAACATTTCTAGTGTTTCTCTACACCAAGAACTATCACTCGTGTGTAATAACACAAAGAATTATTTAATGTGATTCGCTTCATCACTTTTAGTGCAAAGTTAGTTGCCACTTTTTCGGTGTTAAAATACACTCAGAGCTTTTGTAGTGTAGTACATTATAATTTATCATTTCAATACATAAAAATTATATTTCAATTAATAGCATTATAGTTTTAGATAGTTAAAGTAATTTAGAACATTTTCTTTAAATTTAGGAGCTCAGAGAAAGATTACAATTTTAGACAGTAATCTAGTTTTGTTAACATTGATTTTCTAACGAAGCGCGAAACTTTTCTCAGTGTTACCGTTATGTTAACATATTCAGATTCCATTAAAACAAGTGATATCTGCCATCAATCGCTGTTTTCAATAACCAGAACGACACGCAATGTAATAAAGTAATTAAAATCGCCAATGCTAGTTTCGGTCTATATAAGATGATCTAATAGTCCAAAAGCTGTTAAATGCAGCAAAGTAATTGTCAATCATGAATTTGATCACCTTTGCTTCGGTAAGAAAGCACTCTATTACCTATAAGTCAATGTTTTTCTAAAGACATGCATTTACTTTTATTTGCATTTAATTGAAGAATATTACTGGTTGCCATCAATTTTCATAAGTCTGATTTTGACTTCAATATTAACAGCTTAATTTAACAACTTTATTTCAACTTCAAAAGTGCAATAGTTTGGTTTTAATTTCAATATAAGAAGATGCAATAGTCCAAAACCTTTTAAATGCTGTGAAGTAATTGTCAAATATGAATTTGATTTCCTTGACGTCGGTAAGAATGTATTTTATTACCTTCAATACAATGTTTTTTATCAAATAAAGTCCATTTAATTTTATTTATGTTAAATTGAAAAATAATACTGATAATTATTTCTTTTCACCAATTTAATTTTAACTTTATTATGAAAAGTTTGAGTTTAACTTCAATATTAAGAGTTTGATTTTAACTTCAGCAGTTTAACGATTTAATGTAAATTTCAACATAAGATGACCTAATAGTTTCAAAGCTCTTAAATGCTGCAAAATAATTGATAATTATGAAATTGATCTCTTCAGCTTCTGTAACAATGTATCTTATTATCTTAAACTGTATTTTTCTATATATTTTTTTAAAGAGAGAGAGAGAGGCATTTATACTTTTATTTTCGAAAAATATTATTGATTGTGATAAATTTTTAACATTTTGTATAGGTATAAAATAAGATCTTATTAAATATTTTGTCTAAATATGAATTCAGTTTTGAATTAAATTAATCATTTAGTACCAATTTATTAGCATGTTGAGAGTAAACCAAGTTTAATTTTTAAAAATTATTTCTTCATAAAAAGTATTAATGTTATTAGCGTTTTCTTCAGATTTCATGCAAGGATGACTCTACCTTAAAGATCTTCAAAAATTTAAATTATTTTGGTTGGTATATTTTATAAAGAATAATAAAAAAAAAATTATGTTTGTGCATTCAGTACAGTAAGCGAGGAAACTTTCCTTCTAAATAACTTTTATTCTAATAGTGAATACCAATTCATAATAATTTTTAATTAATACTATCTTCTTATTGATTCATAATTGTGTTTTTAATTTTTTATTTCTCAAGAACAATTTGGCCAATTTTGTTCAAATTTCGTACTTTGTCATTTAAAACTGCATGCTTTTAAATTACGTAAGAAAATTATCCTTCAGTGTTCAAAATGTTTCCGACCATTGCAAAAAAATTAAAAAAAATTACATTAAAAATTATAAATAATTCGTTCACATGGAAATATCATTTGATTAACGAGTTTTATTATTGTATGTAAAAAGTTTTCAATTGGCTTAAAAAGTAGCCTAGATTTCGCAAAATACCGAAATCCGAAATATGGAAATTAACAAAGAATGTACACTTTTGCGCCTTAACTCATAACTTTTAACTGTAAGCATTAATAAATTAGCATAATTGAAATCTGAATTAAATTCTATTAACCATTAAGACTGGTATTTAGTGTGTGAAAATCTGATCTTTAGAATAAAACTTAGTCAAGTTAATACCATTCTTTACATCCCACTGTACATAGACATTTCAGGAACAAAATTACAAAATTGTTTTCGATAAAAATACTTTTAATTTGTATACGTCATGCGAGAGATAAAGCAGAAGAATTGCCCATAAATAACGTCAGTAGATTTCAAAAGTTTTTATGCCACTTGCATCGCATTCCTTGATGTCCAGCAATTAAACAGTTTTAGACTCAAAAACGTAATCGAAATTTTCAGAAATTCTATTCTTCATTTTAATTCTAATTTTTGAAAGCTACAATTTTCATTAACTGTAAATTAACGTTTTTTTTCGAATAACAGATTTAAAAATCGTGTTCTTGTCAGATAATATGTATCTTTACAATAGTAAGGCATAGTTTATACATGCGTAATAATCATGTTTAAGTAAATTATGTAATTATATTATTTTATTCTTTACTACGAAAACTTCAAGCTCATTATTAACTCCAAATATATTTATATTATATATATATAAAATTTGCTCAACAATTCAAATAATTTCTTGTAATAATAAAAATAGGCATATAAACTTTAAAAAAAAGTTTCTACATTCGACTTTATATTAGGGGTTCATTAATGTTAAAAGAGCAATTTCTCTAATAAATAATTACAAATAGTTAAAGTTGAAAGAAAACGTAATACATAATTCTAACAATAACCATTCTTTTTCAGAGAACTTTTCTGTATTGTGTGGTTTTAAGAGTTGCATTATCCTCCACGTTTTCCATACAAAAGGAAACTCAATATGACTTTAATAATCTCAAACACAAAACTCTTCATCACAATAATGAAACAGATAATGATGATAAGCGAAACAATGACAAATATTTACACAAAAACGTCGATGAAATCTGGGGGCAAAATGAGATTCCCACATTAAAACACAATAGTGTCAAAATTAAGAATGGCACGAGTAACAACAATACAGAGGCTTTGGATTACGCCGATGAATTGTTTTCGTATCATCGACTTTTATCAGAGTCTAGTAACCGGATATTGCAAACGTATGAAAGTGATTCAAAAAGGAAGGAATTGGTTAATAGAAATGGAAAAATTCCAACTGATATTGTAAAGAAACTTGGTGATGCAGTGATAGATCTATCGTTAGAAGATCAGGACAAGGTCATTTACATACCTGTTTATGAACAAGAAAATCCTGGAAACTACAATAGTGTGCCAAATCAGAAGAAAATCAAGCAAAATAACGAAAATCAATATAAGAAAGCAGAAATTGGGAAGAAAATAGTAGGGTTTATTGGTGTAGTTCTTGTTGGAAAAAATAAAGACAAAAACAGTGCATCTGGAGGAAAACACATGCCTCCAACCGAAAATATGAAGAGTGTTCATCAGCAACATCAAATCCCTTTTCCAAATAATTATCAGCATTTATCTCTAGGACTTGCAAATAATCATAATGGCCACATGAAGAGTGTTCATCAGCAACATCAAACCCCTTCTCCAAATAATTATCAGCATTCATCTCCAGGACTTACAAATAATTATAATGGCCATGTGAAGAGTGTTCATCAGCAACATCAAACCCCTTCTCCAAATAATTATCAGCATTCATCTCCAGGACTTAGAAATAATCATAATGGCCAGATGAAGAGTGTTCCTCAACAACATCAAACCCCTTCTCCAAATAGTTATCAGCATTCATCTCTAGGACTTACCAATAATCATAATGGCCATCGAAATTCAGTCAATGATGTTAAAAATACTTGGAACATACCAATTTCCGAAGATCAAGGTTGGAAGATTTCGCTTGTAACTCCAAACTCTCATGGTATAACTACATCACATGGGCTTACAGCGAAGGATCAAGTTATTTGGGGATCAAGACACCAAGAATCGAGTAAAAAGGGCTTAAGAAATTTGGTACCTGGACAAAATGTACAATTAAACCAAAAAAAGAATATGGATAACATTATGAATACGAATTTCAACAGTAAACTAAATGTTCCAAATAATAGACCTATTCCTGAAAATCCATTATTTCCAAATCGCATGAGAGGTAATCGAATGAGAGGCAAATCATTGAATAGCCCAAGTATGGGACATGGGATGACCACTAATAATAAAAAGCAATATCAAACTCATAAACCTCAAATAAATTCCCAAAATTTTGATAAAAATAAAAACCAGTTTAAATCCCACGGATTTCAAATGAAATCTCAGAATAATGATCAAATTAAAACTCACATGCTCGATGGTAATAATCATCATTTTATTCCAGTAATTAAGCACATCATAGTACAAGACAACTCTTTAAGAAACAATTACGAATCCAAAGAAAATAATGAAAATTATTCCAATCGAGATTTTTATAATGAAGGGAATTTACTTTCTTTGAATCAAAATCAAAAATATTCCCCACAGGATATTTCTGGATTGCAAAATAGTTATAACAACTACGAAAAAAGGGACACGAATATAAATAATAAAAATATTAACAATCTTTATAATCATCATATTCAACAAAAGTATTCTAAAATTTCCGATGGGAATACACACATAAATGAACCAATAAATCAAATACAAAACCAAAATTTCAAATCCAATAATCAAAACAATATTAATGGTGGATATCATAAAATCAGAGAGGAAAATAAAAATGAAATTAACAATGAAAATAACGCATCAAACTTAGGAAAAAGAACCAATGTGTTTGAGTCTAAAAACGCTGATAAAAGCTATCAGCAATTTCAATATGGATTACTACCCCAACAATACAGTAGTAACATGCAAAATGCGCAGGACACAGATATCGATAAAGCATTCAAAGCAGCTGGTATTTATCTAAATAATCAGAATAACGTAGGTGTACAATCCAGAAGCTTTACACCCGAAAACGTCAGATTCGACAGCGATCCAAGATATTTTCATCATAGATCGGAGGAAATAAATAAAAATTCAGACAATATAAGACCAACAACAGACCAACGATATAATGCATTGTTTCATGAACGTAATAATAATTTTAACGTGGCCAAAATGGCTACGATTCCTACTTATCGAGAACAAAATATTAAGCACAGAATACCTAAGTTTTATTCCAATTTTACTTACATGAACAATATCGGAAGCACAAACACAAATTTTTCTGGAAAATCGCTCGAAGTAGAAAACGGACAATTCGTAACACTTCCACTGGATGAAAATAGTTGGAAGGTTATAAAAAAGAATAACAATTCTTATGAATTAGAAAGAACTATACCCGATTCTATTTCTAAAACGGCACCTTTTGCTTTTAACGCACAAAACAACGATCAATTCCATCAACAAAGTTTTCAAAACTCACCTCCCAATCACGGAATAAGCCCAGAATATTTTGATGTTAAAAGTGCGGTGTTTAACGGACAGCAAATAAAATTCCTCAACAACGACATGGATTTAAATCCATTGTACAATTCTAAAGAAATTTATAAGATACCATCAGATCGAATTCGAAAACAGTTTCCAGAACTAAAAACTAACAAGCAAACCGAAGAAGCTCTTCTGTTTTCTGGATTCAACAATGGAGGCTGGATTCCAAGTAAAACTGATGATAATAATCAAAAGGACAGAGATTTGCAACAGTTCAGTGGTGCTGAAAAACGCGTCACGGATGGAAATTCTAAGAGTGAATCCAATTTGTCAAGATTCACTGGCAAAAACAAATTCAATTACGATAACAGCATTAATGCGCGTATAAAAAACAATAATAATGAAAAAAATGGTGAGCTGAAGAACAATAGTGACAAAAGTGAAAAGAAAAATGTATCTAATAATAGTGAAGTCGATGGAGCTGATCCAAATGGATTCGGCGGGGAAAGTTTTTGGTGACCACAACTGTATGATTTATTAAGATTCTCTTCATTTGTGATTATTTATTTCAGTTGTACATACTACACATTTTCTAGATTCGTCAAATATTTATTCTTGTGAAATCTGTGTTCAAGTTTTTGCTTTATTAAATTAAGAAGTAATCTATTGGTTACCTTTTTTTTAAGTAGATTTGTTTCAGTTGTATTAATCAGCCTTTTTTAAACATGTTTAACATTTTTATAATTATATTTTATATATTGGGCATGAATTTAACGTTTTTCAAAATGAAACCATGCTTATTTGTAAAGTTGGGTATCAAAATCTGTAAAATTTGAAACGTATTAAGAAATTATGAAGCTTTTTTTTTTTGAAAAAAAAAAGGAAGCAAACAAGCAAATAACTATATCAATTTTCAAAAAACTTTTATTTTTATTCAAGTCTTTCTTCCTTTTAGAATTTCACTCAAGAGTGCTTTTAAATTTTTTAAAAAAATTGTAAATTGAAATTGAAAAATTAAGTTTTGAAACTTTTCTTGTCAAAAATGAAGCTTGAAATTATAAAAAAGAGAAATCTTAAAAAACAAAAGGAAAAAAAAAACGTTTGCCATAACAAAGGGAGCAATACAATTTTTAAAAATCGGCACAATGCATTCGGTCATCATTTTATGCTAATAAAAAAGGTACAATTATTCACTAAAAGCATTTATAATTTTTAAAGATTTCAGTTTTTTGCGCTAAAATTTTTTTTGACCTAACATCCATCAGATAAAAGTAAATTTGGTCTTAAATTAACCATGAAAACATGTATAATAATAAAAAATAGATAATCTACAATTCAACTCAATTAAAGGCTAGATTAACTTCCCTCAAAAATGTAAGCACAAAAAATATTTTACTAAATTTTTGCTTTTAATTATTTTTGCTATGGATTTTCCAGGTTTTGACACCTTACACTTATATCTGCTTATTTTCAAGAACAATAAACTCTGTAAACCTAATTATTTTAAAATCTTGTCATTAACGTGTTATATTTATAGTTTTAAATAATATTTTTATATTTTTGAATAATATTTTGTATTTTTAATTCATATTGTCATATTTTTTAGATATTTGCTTGCTGTCTCTATTTCACTGGCTTCTTTGTAATAAAAACCTAAATCAAAGCTTAAATCAAATTATTTATTTATTTATTTATTTATTTTCTATTTATTTGTTTATTTTTTATTTATTTATTTATTTTTTAGTGGGTTTCAGCATTTTTGCCCACTAAAAAGATCAAAAATTTTGATAACACAAACCGTCTAGACTTCTAACTGGAAGTAATTTTCATGAAATTTGATTATAATTTGATTCAATATTCAAGCAACTACTCCATTGTTGACAAATCATGCATTTGTTTAATAGTGTAATTATGTTAAATTTTTTCATTCAATTTATTAATGAATTAATAAAGTTACATTTTGTTTTCTTGTTTTATTTTATGCATGCAGCTACTAATATAATTTAGTAAAAATGACGTTAAAATCACTAATAATATATTTGTTGAATCCTAGACGTGTTTCAATGTAAGATTGTGTACTTGTGCACCTTCATCAGCAGGAGCACCATTTTGCACTATTACCCAGCTAGGTATATTAGATTTGTGTTATATTGATGGTGTTTTGAACATTGGTTTTACTTACAAGAAAGATACCTGAAGTGGCCTATGTAAATTAAGCTAAATATTGTTCTACTGTTTTTTTCTTCTTTGGTTACGACATAATATATATATATATA